CTAGTATTTCAAAGATTGCTGGTTTTCTGGGAGTCTAGTACTTTGAATACTGCTAGTATTCAGGAGAGTCTAGTATTCTAAAGAGTGCTAGTATTTTAGTGAGTGCTATGATTTCGAGAGTCTAGGATTTTGATAGTCTGGGATTTTGGAGTCTGGGATTTTGAAAAGTGCTAGTATTTCAAAGATTGCTGGTTTTCTGGGAGTCTAGTATTTTGAATACTGCTAGTATTCAGGAGAGTCTAGTATTCAGGAGAGTCTAGTATTCTAAAGAGTGCTAGTATTTTAGTGAGTGCTATGATTTCGAGAGTCTAGGATTTTAAAAGTCTAGGACTTGAGAGTCTAGGACTTTGAGAGTCTAGGATTCGGAGAGTAGCATCGAAGGGCAAATTAAGACATCGGTATGAACGGGCACTTTTGCAGTGAGATCTGCGCAGATTAATGGCCCTATAGACACGCCAGCTCTAGAAGTCTCCGAGCCATCCCTATTTCGACAAGTCACACCATCAATTCTCCCCTTCCATCACTCAAATCTTCACATAATATCAGCGACAATAAAAACACATGGACGCTTGCAATACTAAGATGTGATATCAGACACCAGGGTATAGTATGACCTAGAATAGGTGTTTCCTCTTTCGCGCACGTTGACACTAATCCTGCAAGGCGCCAGCAATTATATATTTCTGCGCTCTTCTCGTCATAGCCTTGGCAGATGTGAGGGTTCGCTCCATGAAAGTTAAGTTGGAGGGCGGCGAGTTGATCTTTGATGCAACTAACATGAACCCTCACGTGTGACTAGAATGCCTGCGAACAGACATCCGAGAAATCAAGGGCAAGACGAAAGATGCATGTCAAGTCATTACTATAAAAACAGGATAGCGGGTGTTGCCCGTATCAACCAAGAACGTAATCGACACAGTGTGCTGGTGTTTTGAGTACTAGTACAGAACACAGTGAACACAGTAAGCTTGTATTTTAATACAGGTCATCACATGGAACATACGCTAGTGGTGATCGTCAAAGTATAGATCTTAGCGTTCGGACCCTAGTATCAGTTTTTGCCGATGATCCCCGAAAGCACCTACTCCGTCTATGCACGCTTGTTGTGGGTGCCGTCAGATATCATGTTGAAGCCCGAATGAAATGTCGTCCAACATCCACAACTTTTCCCCTTTGATCCAACTAATCTAAATACCAGAATCGCCGCCCATATTATTTCAAACTTGTGATAATATAGGGCATGAACACGTATGTCTTCCCCGGGTCCCTCACAGTTATTATGCAACTCGACATAGATGTCGATCCGCGAATCGACAGCCTGATTTCGCAGCCATACTTTGTTAGGCCGCCGACTGCAAAAAGTCACTTTTCCTATATAAACAAGTGTTCGCTCCACCTCTTGCAAACTCTCGTCCATCACTCCCTTCTTCACGAACATACGCTCCATCATGATTGCACAAGTGATTTTTTGCTTCAGACTCATCAATTGCGTTTCGGAAATCGCCGCGCTCTGCCTCACAGGCTATTTTCTTGTCGTGCTCCTTATTGAACTCTCGGTCCAGGCAGAATCTGCCACCATGGACTTGAGCGCTGTTCAAATCGAAGAATACTACTCTGGCCCCTTTGGGGCTGAACCTGAGATTCAGACTCTTGGTGGGGACACTAATACTGATTTCATCTCTATTCAAATTGCTGCTGCCTCTGCTTCCTTTCATCCCAGATATTCAAAGGCCACAGAAACAGACTGCTCTCCTGCCTTCTCTCCATCAAGCGACGGTAGCTTTTTGGAATTTTCCGACGGGAAAACTGGTGCTTCTTCCGTTCTTTCTTTCATTTCAGACTCAAAGCTTGGCTCCTTGGCTGGTGGTATCTTTATGAAGCCAGCCGTAGTTGTAGACTGCACTGAGACTGATGAGATCAAAAGAACGCAAGGAAACTTGTTCCCGGACAACAATTCTATTTTCAGTGGGGAACTTGAGATCCCCAAAGTGGAAGCCATTGCTCTGCTGCCTGCCGCTAACCCAGATATTGACATGGAGTCTGGGTGGCAAGTTCAGGGGAGAAAGCGCAGGAATTCTCGCAAAAGAGCTGGCACAAAAGTAAAGACAGTTTCTGGGACTAAGGCAACTGTTTTCGAAAAGAAACTCGCCAGTGATCCAGAATCCGCTGCCCCTGGCTCTCCTTTTTCTAATAATCCTTTTCTGGTTTTGGCTGACATCGATGAGAATGACTATCAGGAATCACGCCCAAGCAGACAATACAAGAAAGTTCCTGGAAAGCTCGAGCTCTCTTCTCTTGGAAACGTGATTTCTGGCATTTCTCGGGCTATGGACTTGACTATGGGAAACGACGAGGTGCTGAACCTGAATGCAGTCAGCAATGGTATGGACATGGCTTTCGAATCTATTGATGAGAAAAATCTGGGACTCAGCCAAGAAAACACTCAGGATTCGCTCCAAGAATCTCCCCAAGACGCGGGAGAGAATATGGGCTCCAAACATGTCGGGACTACCGTTGAAATGTCTGATATTTTGGTATCTAATATTTTGGTATCTAATATTTCTGATGATGGTTGGAGAGTTCAAGGCAGGAAACGCAAAAATTCCCGGAAAAGACCTGAACGGAGCGTTAACATGGCGACAACAATGGAATCAATCCTGACTGATCAGAAGGGTTCCTTGGGGTCAAACCCGTCGATGAAACAGCGCTCCTCTGATTTTAATCTTTTCCTGATGTTGGCCGAAATATGCGAAGAAGATTATCAAAAAGCGCCACCAAGAAGGCATTTATGTCTCAAAACCTGAGACAATCGCTGGCCATTGGGTCAATGGACAGCGCCGTGGTACTAATTTGATAGCCACATCGCTCGTAGACTGATGAACAACGGTTGAAACAGGCCGCAATTTCTATTTGTTTTGAAAACAAAAAAATCAAAGGAAAAAAATCAAAAAAAAAATCAAAAAAGTCAAAAAATATCAAAAAAAAAATCAAAAAATACATCGGTGTGGTCTTCGCCTCTTCGATATTTTCTCCACTCGTAAGATATATAGGAATAAACAGAACTCTACATTTACAAATCACTAACAAGTCTTGATGCTGGATCATAATCAATACGGAGCCCTTCTCATATTCATAAAGTTTGCAAGTGTTGTTCCATAATAATAAGTTGTATTGATAGTCTTTTTGTGTATGAGTTTCCGTCTTCGATTTGAGTAGAAGGCAGATTTAGTGCTGCGAAGCGTAGATCTTTTGAGTTCAAGTAAACCTTCGGAGATCAGGGAAACAGCATTTGAAAATGCAGAGAAAGCTTTGGCCAAATTGAAAATAGTACTTGTTTGATTTTCGTAAACGATTCTCTCATATTGTGGACTTGAAAGAGCATACCAAGCGTAGCAGAGTTCTCGCCCTCAGTAACTTTATTTCACAATCGGATGATTTGTATTTCTTCCTGAAAGCCTGCTTCAATATAACTGTTTTCAACGGATACAATAATTGGAAACATCCCTGGTCGAAACCAACTTTTCTATCAGCTAAAGATTCGTGAATTTGGCACTCTTGAACATTTGATTATGCGCGCTATCTTCGTGATGTCGTACTGATGGATTATTTTATCATAAGATCAACGCTTCATTAGAGCGTTTCCAAACTCAAACGGCCCGCAGTCAAATCATTTGAATATTAGTTCTGAAACCAGCTCGTAGATTTGAATACCTAAACACCGGCTAATTCAAGTATTTAGTGCAGAGAGCAAGTACATCAAATAAAGTCTTTTGTTTAAACATTGCATCTGTACACATTCAGATACTTGATTTCAGAACCTTCCCAAAGAAAAAAGACTATTGAAAACCAACAAATTATCGCATTGTCCCTATTTGCATTAACCACTTCAAAGTTGAATCATCTTTTAATTTCAACATAACCTTACCAATGTAACATGATTGCACCACTAATACCCAATCTACATAAGTATTTGGAGTTTGGCGATGAGCAGGGTCTATGCTTAGCAGGGGTTGATACAGCTCAATCATTCCCCATTGTTTCAGCCCCTAATTATACTGATTTTTGGCTCGATCTCTTTCGTTTTTTATGGTGTAAAACTATATGGTGGTAGGCATGAAACGTACATAAGTTCAATTAACTGGCTTTGTCTGACATCTTGCACAGCTCAAATAAAATCTTGGGTGCGTCTTTTGCCCACATATCTGAGCAAATTGAACACTTCTTGTTTTTTCTTTAGGGCTGACGATCTCAATCTCATATGTCCTACTGACTTTCATAGGTACAATGAAAAGTCGACCTTTATATTGCGGATGAACTGGAAACCAAATTTTTGTTCTTTTCACTCACTCAGACTATTGACGTAACGTAATCTTGAATTTGAGTGGCTGAATATTGCTGAGGTCAGCAATTATCTAGCAAATAACTTGCAGATTGCCTTTGAATTTCACGAATGGCTAGCAAAATGCTAAAGTACGCTGCCTTTAGTTATTTGGCTTCTATTTCTTCTAATTAGCTTTAGTTTCATTACCTGAAAAATGGTGTTTTTCAGAACTTTATGCCAATGCTCAGGCCCCAGAAAAAGGAACGCAAACCTTTTCAACCTTGCTTTCAACTGCGCTTTCTTGACTTTTTATTTGCGTCTATGGTTGAGCTCCCCCAAAGACTTGCTGCTCAATTAACTTAATAAAAGCTCTCGCCTTCCAGAGGAGCTTTTAGAAGAATAGGCAGTTTTGCGGATTGTTCAAAGGACTCGAGTACAGGAGCAAGTTTGAAAAAGAAACTGGATATCATTTACTGCTAGGTAGTCTTATAAAGTAATGAAGCCCATTACATTTGGGGTTCCGGGTGTCCACTTTTCTTGCGCCTATAGTATCAGGATTTTGCAAACAACATGCCACACACTGTTTACAGGGAAAATTCCTCTATAAGACCCAAACCCAAGATGGATGTGTAGTATTTTCGTAGGTACGGTTTTCTCTGACTAAGACACACTGACAGTGCTCGCGTCTTCGCCGGTCTCTGACTGGCACACACATGTATCCATGAAGAATGTCTTCAGACAATAAAGGAGCTCGGGTCCTAGCGGCAGTCGTCCGCGAAGTTTATTTCCAGTGATCCCCTCAATGACACACTCCAAGGAGGGAGCGGCACCAGACACAGACACGGGTTCGAGGGCCGTTGAGCCAAGAGCACGTGTCGCCAGGGCTACACGCGGCCGCATGAAGAGACAGTCTAGGATTTTGGAGTCTAGTATTTTGAAGAGTGCTAGTAGTTTAAAGAGTGTTAGTATTCTGAAGAGTGCTGATGTTCTCGAAAGTGCTAATATTCTGGCGAGCTTGATCTTCTGGAGAGTGCTAGTATTTTAAAGAGTGTTAGTATTTTAGTGCATTGGTGAGTGCTGGTAATTTTAAAGAGTGCTGGTATTTTGTGGTATACCTTTATCACTCTTATGTAATTCATTATATAAGATATAAGAAGCTTTAAGATATTTGAGTGTTACTTCTAATATACGTTTATCACCTATCGTTTCAGAAATACGATTCATAATATGTTCGTGAGGTAGAAGATCAAAACATTTTGTTATATTTGCTTGCACGACTCAGTTATAGCGAATACCAATTCAGTAGATATCTCCAAGAGCAGTTCTAGGTGATCTTTTTGGTCTACAACAATGAGAATGTTCTGAAAACGTTGGTTCTCAGATTAACTCTATCAGCATTTTCAATGCTTTATGTACGAATTAATCCCTTGGCGATACCACTGTTAGCTGTCTTAGATTATCTGAATTAGCTTTGGGTATCATAGATGCCCTGCCTGGTTCAAAATTGAATTTACCTTTTTAGGTTCAAGAGCTAGATTTACAAAAAAGACCTAAAGTTTCTTTACTTATACCTTTTGTTATATTACCAGATTTACTTTTGGTTCACGTATGATGTATGATCTTTGGATTCTGGAGTGTCTAGGAGTTTAGAGAGTGCTAGTATTCTGAAGAGTTTAGTTTCTCGCGAGTCTAGAATTTGAGAGTCTTGGGTTTTGGAGTCTAGGATTTTGAGAATCTAGGATTTTAAAGATTGCTGGTTTTCCTGGAGTCTAGTATTTTGAATACTGCTAGTATTCTGGAGAGTCTAATAATTTTGAAGAGTGCTGGTGTTTCAGTGAGTGCTAGTATACTGGCGAGTGCTAGTATTCTCGAGAGTCTAGGATTTTGAGAGTCTAGGAATTTGGAGAGTCAAGGAGTTTGGAGTCGGGGAGTTTGGAGTCTGGGATTTTGGAGAGTCTGGGATTTTGAAAAGTGCTAGTATTTCAAAGATTGCTGGTTTTCTTGGAGTCTAGTATTTCGAATACTGCTAGTATTCTGGAGAGTCTAATAATTTTAAAGAGTGCTGGTGTTTCAGTGAGTGCTAGTAGTTTAAAGAGTCTAGTATCCTCGAGAGTCTAGTATTATATAGAGTGCTAGTATTCTGGTGAACCTAGTATTTTGAGTTCTGGTGCACAGCTCTCACCTCTGATGAATGCCCCACTATAGGGCCCTACTTAATATGCAATCTGTATTGCAAATGCCCTATCCGAAATACACGCCTGCTTCCATCGGCATCTTCAAAAGCCTTGACATAAAGCAAAACACCGTGCGCCTCAAACACAAACATGCGGTGTTCTGCTTCGTTTCGACACGGCCGTTCTACTGGCGAGGCGTAGACTCAATGCCCGGCCGCGTATCTATCATTTCCTGCCAGCTCAAAGCGTGCGACAATGTAGAGCACCTTGGCTAGCCATATGTGTATAATTTTCATGTCATATTCAACACACCTTAGATCATATTAAAGTACTGATCTCTGGAAAAGCTAATTTGGGCTTCTGTATGTTCACAAAACTGCCTGTGTTGATCGGAGCCACGCCATTGGGGGCTACTATATTGAGAGTGCGTCGTCGCTAATAAAGCCCCACGAAAACTACCGCCCCAAACGCAGATTTGACTGGAATTTGAAATTTGGCCCCTCTAATCATAAGGATTAGGTCCACAGCATGTACCATTGGCATTGGATTGGTGTCGAAACAGCAGCCCAGCAGGGCTTCGTCACGTGACGAGGGCTCGTACCCTAAACGCATCGCCCGTACAGGCCCGCGGTGTCTGGAGGTGCACCGCACGCGGAAAAAATACATCGAAAATTTATCTACCAATATTTTTTTCAAGGAACCATATCCACACAACACAATGGCTGTATGTATAAGACTTGAAGACTCGCAGAGTTAAAGACGAATGCTGTGAGATCAAAACGAGATGGATGAATGTTGGGATGCCGTGTACTGTTGATTGTTACTCCAGGCCGTGTTCATGGAATTAGGCGATTAGCATGGACTTGCTTTTTCCACTAATTCAAGAAGCTTGTTAAACCATTTTCTTCATCGCCCTGTACTTCACCATTGCGATCCTGGATTGTTATTTGGATACGGAAAATGGAAACAGTACGGGGCTTCATCCGCTCGACACCGTATACGAATCCATTATCTAGATAGTGGACCGTGATGCCAGATGAAACCAATTTCCATGTAAACACAAGTGGAATCTCTCACTAGGCACAGCGTTGTCTCGAAAACCCGACCCCACACATATGCTAACATTTACAGAGAGAGATCAAGGACATCAAGGAATTCGTTGAATTGGCTAGAAGAGCTGACATCACCTCTGCTACCGTCAAGGTCAACAAGAAGGTCAACCCAAAGGGTAAGACCTTCAAGCAAACCAAGTTCAAGGTCAGAGGCTCCAGATACCAATACACCTTGGTTGTCAACGACACCGCCAAGGCCAAGAAGTTGCAGCAATCCTTGCCTCCTTCCTTGGAGATCAAGACTGTTGCTTAAATCAACAACTACTACTCTAATAAACGCATTTGGTAAAAATCGATTTTTGCATGTAGCCAGGGCCGCAAGCCCCCAGCTGTAAAGCGGCCCCGAGGAAAATCCGATGGTGCACGGCTGGCCGTGTCGAGCTGTATGGGCACCCCTCCCAAAGCTAGTTCCCGGGTGCTGTGCTCTATGTAGCGGGGTCCTCGCCACGCACTATATGATATCCTCCATGTCGTCGTCGTCGTCGTCCTTCTCGTCCTCGGCCTCGTTGGTGGCAACCTGGCCGAGCCGTGCGGCGCGCTCCGCGTCGCGCAACCGCTTGTACTCGGGCTTCAAGTTGTACTTGGAGGTGTAGGGCCCCTTCTTGATGAGGTTGGCAATGGACTCGAGCGACTCCTTCAAGTAGGTCTCCGGCTGGCGCGTGCGCTCCTTGAGCCCCTTCATGGACCAGTACTCGTACTCCTCGAAGAGACGGAAAAGCAAGTCCAACAAGTCCTTCTTGGGCATGCGGATGGCGCGGCCCTCGGCCTTGCTCTTGGGGGTCGTGGACTTGAGGAACACGGACGTGCTCTTGCCCGTGAGCGACGGCCCGGCCTGCGACTGCACCACGCCCGGGATGTCGGTCAAAAACGTGACCTTGGGCCGCTCCTTCTCCTGGCCAATGTGCTGGCGCCTGCTGAGCATCTGAGAGTACTTGGAGTCGCCCCTCAGCGGCACGACCTGGCAGTCGTGCACGATTTTGCCCGCAAGGCTCGTCTTCTTGGGGATGGTGCGCACAAAGGGCACGTACTTGCGGTCCTCGGAGCCGTTCTTCTGCACGCGGAAGAACTTGCCCGGCGTTTTCTGCACGCCGTTCTTCTCCAAGTCCGGGAGCGCCGGCGCGGCCGGCATGTCGCCCATCTCCGTGCGCTCCTGCTGGAAGCGCCGCAAGTTCTGCTCGCTGAACACGTACGAGTTCTTGACCTGTGTGTTCAAGATCGAGAGGTTGTACTCCAGGGGGTACTCGTCGGACCGCTCGCGCTCGTCCAACACGAGCTTGACCTCGAGTTTCTTGCGGCCTGCTGCGGCCGCCGGGTTCTGCCGGATCTTGACCTCGCCCAACTGCTGCCCGTGGAGGTTGGCCCGGTCCGTCCACCGGTCGGCCAAGTACCGGGGCAACTTGACCAACCAGACCTTCTGCGCGCCGCGGCCGAGGTTCATGTCGAGCGACTCATTTTCCTCGAGGTAGTCCTCTGGGTCCAGGAGAAGCGCATGGTCGGCGGCCGCGGCCTCCTCGTCGTCTTCCTTTTTGATGTCGATGCCTGGCCCGGAGGCGCCGGGCTGCTCGGGCTTGACGGCCGGGCCGGCGGCGGGTTTAGTGGGGCTGGCGGTGCTCATGGACTGGTGGGGTCACGTGGGGATGTGCGGGGAATACGGCTTGTGAAGTGGTTGGACGACTTGGAGAAAGCGGGCAACGGCGGACAAGGAACAATGGCCCTGGGCCCGGTTTGTATGGGGCCGCCGCGCGGATGCACGGGTGCACGGGCCGGGGCTTGGGGCCGGCTGGGCCTGCCTGGGGTGGCGGGATCGGGGAGGCTTTTGGGAAATTTAAGGGGGTGTTGGGGAATTTGGCAAGGCATGTGGGCCCCGGGCCTGTTCTGGGTGGCGGTGCTTTTGTAAAGACTCGGATGGGTTGTTTTGGGGTGGCCTCTAATCACTGGACTTGGAACCAGTGGGGCTGCGCGGCCGGCCCTGGGCCAATTCTGGGGCCAATTCTGGGGCCAATTCTGAGGCCAGTTCTGGGGCCAGTTCTGGCCGCAAGCCGACCGCCCAAAATACACGTGTCGACGCTGCCAAGTAGTCCAATTTGAAGCTCCCATGACCTTAGTACCCAATGATGTCCGGCAATATAATCCCGGCAGAAATTTCCAAACAACTAGTATCGAACGCTCCTTGTCTATGTTAGCCCTTTTTTACCTGAGTAGTTGCCATCATTTGGTTGTCCCTGGGGATAGCAATCAGAACAGCCCATACCCGAACCACCACACGAAGCACCAGCCTAGAAATTTCATCTTAATGTTCATGCCTGCGGCGTGGAGCTACTAAATCTTGCTGAAAACGGGAAGACTGCCTGGAAGGGGCCGGAAGTCCCCGACAACAGGGCCACCAGTAGATAGCTTTGTATGCGAGTAAGCCCCATAGGAATCCCCACCCACCAGAGGTTTCCTAGATCATTGGCGCATTCGCTTCACGTGAAAAAGTAGCCAAATTCCTCGAACCCACCCATTTGTTTCTCGACCCCTGACGCCAGACTAGACCTCAAGACTTTGATCGCGATATAGCAGTAGATAAATAGCCGCGTCCATCTATAAGCTGCCTGGAATATATAGCTGGGTGTCAGTGACATCAAAAGCCGCCAGCCTCTTATCCGGCAATGGGCGGGCTAAGTGTGGTTCTTGTCTCCGACCCAAATCAAGAGAACGCAGACGGCAGATTCTAGCGCTGGCGAGCTTGCCGCTCAATGTTCACGTGCATGGCTTAATGGTTCAGCAGCCGAAAAGCTGCCATTATTTCCAAGAGAAAATATTTAGATATTTGTAGATAAATTACCAGTACCCGGGCCCCATGCAACGAGACTGCCTTATATCACGTGTCGCATCCTCAAACATAGGCCCAGCAGATTCCGACTCCTCACCAAAAAAGCCAAAACAAAATACAAACCGAGATACCAAAACACCGAAATATCAAAACAATAAAACAAATTACCAAGTTACCAAAACAAAAAACAAAAATATCAAAATACCAAAATACCGGAACACCAAGACACCAGAACACCAAGATACCAGAACACCAAAATACCGAAACACCAAAACACCGAAATATTAACACAATAAATAAAATACCAACTTAACAAAACAAAATACCAAAATATTAAAATACCAAAATAAAATACTAAAATACTAAAATACCAAAATACCAAAGCACCAAAAACTCTTAGACGAAACACCCACCTTTTACACTCTGGACCGCTAAACAGAAAAGGGTTTGTTCCTTGTTGAGTATTGCTTGGTCCGTCTCATCTCGCAGTACGTGAGATCCCTCCAGTCCTCGTGCGACGCGGTGGAAATGGGTGCAAATTCTTAACAAGTAGAATTTTAAAAACCAATAAATTACTATCGAGTGGATTGATAGCGTTGCCATCAAAATACCCCTGACTCATAAGATTCAAGACTCTTATTCTTCATGTAGCTACATAATTTGAATTGTAATTCATTGTGTCTGCCAGGGACAGCAAACTGGTCGCCTTCAACAAAAAACCCAAGTGCACGCTTGTTTTGCCCGTAAATGAAAAGCCAAGCGCTGAAAATAGACTGTTCTGGAACATGCCCCATCGGCACAGAAACAGCCTACTTCGCTGGTCCGAAACAACAGGCCCGGTGCAGTGGCCCCGGGTCGCTCCATAGTACAGGCACCTTTGAATTGCCGGGTGCTCCTCCAAAAGTTGGGGTTCACCGAGCAAATCCGAAGAGCTTACGAAACGGGCGCAAAGATTGGAGTGAATTTCTACAACAAGATTTGCTCCTATAAATATTTTTGTCCCGGCATTCATCCAACAACGGAAGCCGGGTTCAAGTCGCCTTGAACCAGCAATACGGCCATGGCGAGAAACCACATTCGCGTGAACACAGAATATGGGCACCGAAGGAAGAAGTCAACTCCAGGTGACCGCCTCAGAAAATGGCAACTTAAACCATCAACCAGCCACAAACCCACAGAAAAAACCCACAAAAAGAACCCACAAAAAGAACCCACAAAAAAAAACCCACAAACCAAAGCCAGCAGTCCCAGCCCGGGCCACTGCACCTATCTAGCATGGCCCTCAGTGCGCGCTGCTGAAGCTTCCTAATAAAACAGTATTCACCTATCGAGCCGTGGTCTTCAGCTCACAAACGCAAGAATTCCATGTCATAAGAAAGCCCGCGGCAGTTAAAGCCACCACACCTGCCCAACAGCTTTTCATGGTACGTGCCCAAATCTCCAGGCAGATCCGCCCTTTGATGTCGTGCCCCACACGTTCCTGGTGACGGCACCTCACCTACTCCAGCCCAGCACCACCATATCCATGTGGACATCAGCACACAAAATACACTACACATAAAAGATGGTGCTTGAAAGACGCGAGCCGCTCGTCATCACGCGGCCCTACTACTTGGAGAGTTCCGACTGCGGCTACTGCCACTGCAAGCCAAAGGCCGTTTCGCCAGCAAAGAAGACATATCCGGCCGAAACCAACATTCCCCCGGCGCCGACCCACGTGACCATCGGCTGCAAGGTCGAGCAGATGTCTTGTGCCGACTACGACGACTTCATCAACCTCGGATTCCGCCGCCTGGGCGACTTTTTGTACAAGGGAGACATGCTCCGGGGGTGCTGCCGCATGTACACTATCCGGACGCAGTTGGCGCAGATGGCCCTCTCGAAGGAACACCGGCAGGTCGTGAACCGGTTCAAAAGAGCCATTGGGGAAAAACCCGGCGGGAAGGCCGGGCACGTGACCAACGCCCGCTTCTCGTTGGCTTCGCTCATAGAGGCCGAGCAGCAGTCGACCAGATTCTGCACTCGCTTCGAGCCTGCCACGTTCAGCGAGGAGAAGTTCGCCTTGTACAAGCGCTACCAGACCGTGGTGCACCACGACAAGCCGGAAAAGGTCACCAAGGCTCTGTTCACGGACTTTCTCTGCAAGTCCCCGTTTTTGGACCACGAGGCCGAGGGCCACGCTGCCCAGTGGCGCGAGCTCAACACGTGGGTGGCCAGCTGGAAGGCCGGCAAGGCCGCTCACGTGACGCGCTTGGGCCCGACGCACGAGTGCTACTATTTGGACGGGAAGCTCATTGCCGTTTCCGTGTTGGACTTTCTTCCCAGCGGCGTTTCGTCCGTGTACTTGATCTGGGACCCCGACCACGCCCACTTGTCTCTAGGCACGCTTCTGGGGGTGCGTGAGGTGCAGATGTGCCACGAGCTCAACCTCGGCTACTATTACTTGGGCTACTATATGGAAGACTGCACCAAAATGCGGTACAAGAAGAAGTTTGGGGGCGAGCTTTTGGACGTGTGCAACGAGACGTTTGTGCCTTTGGAGAAGGTGCGTCCCATGATGGCCGACGACGGGTTCTGGGTCATAACCGAGGATGGGCACGAGGAGGATGAGAGTGGCGAGGAGAGCGAGGTTGAAAGTGGAGAGGAGAGCGAGGTTGAAAGTGGCGAGGGGAGCGAGGTTGAGAGGAGCGAGGTTGAAAAGAAGAGCGAGGTTGGAAGTGGAAAGGAGAGCGAGGTCCAGGGTGTTTGCCGTATCACCAATCAATCTGAAAACGCAAACAAGAAAGACGGAAGAAGCAAAGACAACAAGTCCGGCGAGGACACGGCACCTACCCAACAACGACAAGATTGCAAAACAGGGTGCGGCAAAATCTGCTGCGGCAAATCCAAACCGGGGCCTGAGGACACCACGGAATCCGAGCTGGACGAGGGCGAACATGAACTCACGTTGTCGGGCCTGCCCGGTGCCTGGAGACATAATATCGTGGATGTTT